ATTTCCAGCTGGTTGTCAGTGGTTCCTGCAGGTTGCTGACTCTCATTATGTGAACTGTCATAGGAATTGCTTTGTTTGCAATTGATTGCAATTTTTCGTGTTTAAGTGCTAGAGACCAAAGCAGGCGGGCTGAGGTTTTTGCCAACTGGTTGGAGAATACACATTTTGCCAGGGGCTCACTGAGCAATCTGTAGGTGTGAGTGACTGAGACTTTAGGAATTATTTTCCCAACAACTGCCATCAGCCTGTGGCAACCACTTGCAACCAATTGTCCAAAACAAATTTCCCCCATGACTGGTGGTTGCCAGATGGTTGCAGACCAGTCTCTAGGCTTTAGCCCTCAAGGATAAGGTTCTTCCACCTTAGGCTACGTCCACACTAGCCCGGATAGATTTGAAAATGGCGTTTTCGTCTGAAAACACTCCGCATCCACACTAACGTTTTCAGTTGTATTCACAGAGTTGTGTGTCCACATTGAAACGTTTTCCTTCGGGGAAAATGCCGTCTCAGTGTGGACGGGAGGCCAAAACGGAGAGAAAACGATGCGTTTTCAAATGAAACATTAGTGTGGACGTAGCCTTAGTCTCAGCCAGTTCTGTCATATTTAGAGCTAAGGAGCCACTTTGTCTTCCTCACACCTTTTTACAGAGGCCCCTGGGGAGCTACCAACAACTGGACAAAGGCCAGTTGTTGGCGGTGAGTAGTGTAGCTGTGGGAAGACTAGCTGCAAAGTGTGAAAATGACAGATAATGTGACTAATGCAGAGGCAGTGAAATGCACGAAGACAGAGACGTTTTATTGTGGATGAAGCTTCATGCTGCCATCCGCAACAAATAGTAAAGGATTTATCAAATATTGCACATAAGGGCTCAAACCTGCTGCAAACATCCAAACAAATGTTGCATGCAGAAATAATTAAACGTCACAGGGAGAATTTGTCAGCTCGGTGAGACTGATGTCTTTGAAGTGAGGGCAGAATGATGAGTTGGGGTTAAGGGAGGGAAAGTTTGGTCGCTCGGCGTGCCAACTTACAAGTTCTCTTTGTTCTGTCGGCTTCAGTTATGAGCGTGCACGTTCTCTCCCACTGCTACCATAAGGCAGCTCCAATCTGTCACTGCTGGCAGCTCACCGTCCTCATTTGAGTGACTTCTTTTTTTTTTTTTAAACAAGAGTTCTGTTGTCTGCGTCGTCACTGGCGTGGAAAGTCGTTCTGCATCAACGTTAAACAGAATGGAGACGACTGGAAAGAAGTCAGCTCGGCCAAGATGAGTAACCGCCAGGAGATTTAGCTCGAAAGACAAAACGTGGACTATAACAAAGAGAATAACAAAGAGATTTCTGTGCTTAGGGTTTAGCTTCATGTGCATGTTATGGCTGAGCAGCCAGCTGGATCTGATGGTGGACTTGTCAGTGAACAGACAGGAACTAAACATTACTTAATTCAATATCTTTGCACAGAGAAAGTCCTCTTCATCATCGCTGCATCAGTGTCATGGTGATTCCTGAATAAAATCTGATCACGCTAATCCGATTAGAGTTTCCATGAATCATTTGAACCTGCCTCATTTTCTCATTTTTCCCGTGAGTCCAGACCCTTTAATTGTTTTATTCAGAATGTAAATCGATCCCCGTCACCGGCTCTTTTCAGAGAGTGGGAGAGGACATGGTGGGATGATTTCCTGCTTCCTCTACAGGATGAGCTCATTTTCTCTCTGACATCATAAAAAAGCTGCATTATTTACTTTTTATTAGTATCTGTCATTGGAAATAACAGAGGCCTTTGATTTTGATTTTGATTTCTATCATTTGTCTCCAATTGAAAATTTGATTTATTTATTTGCCTTTTTCTTTGGCTGAGATTTTAGCAGTGCAGCTGCACCGTACAGTCATACAAGCTCTGCCTCCAAAACAACCCAGGAACCATGGCATTGTTTTATGCATATTTACAATAAAAATCAATTGCATAAAAAAAGAAAATATTTGAAAAAGAAAAGAAAAACACAACTGCCTGAGGTGGAAAGCTTGATGTAACAATAAAAGCAGAGCGACAAAGTGTAAAGGGAACAAAGTTAGCAAATAAATCCTGCAGCGTTAATATCATCAAAGTGTCCACTGAAGATAAAGTTCAACTAATTCATGTAACACCAAATCAAAACATCAGTCACCTCAAGGTGCTTTATATTGTAAGGTAAAGACCCCACAATAATATATAGAAACCTCAACAATCTTGGCAACAGCAGGAAGAAAAAACTCCCTCTTAACAGGAAGAAAGCTCCTGCAGAACCAGGCTCAGGGAGGGGCAGCCATCTGCCGTGAACGGTTGGAGTGGAGAAGGGAGATGATGAGGACCTGATCATGAGGAGACTCCATCGTTTCTTTCCACTTAACCATCAGAGAACTTTGGTTTATTGCTGGAGTGTGAGCTCATGGGGCCACATACAGTCTTCAGGTTGACTATCACACCTTGCTGTAGTTTTCCTTTCTTCCTTTTCACTGAGCTTTACATTTTATATTTCTGCATCCCCACATTGTGCTAAATTTGAGGTATTTCGGTGTTTTTAACACACACACCATACATTTCTTCTTCGACTGATCCTGTTCACAGCACAGCAGATTATCTGTGTCCGTCTCACCCTGTACCCAGGATCCTCCTCTGTCACACTAACCCTCCGCATGTCCTCCGTCACTACACCATGAATCTTCTCTGAGGTCTTCCTCTTTTCCTCCTGCCTTGCAGCTCCATATCCAGCATCCTTTGTCCACTGAATCCACTGTCTTTCCTTTGCACATGCCCAAAGCATCTCAGCCTTGCTGCTGTACATTTGTTTCTAAATAACAACCTGAGCTGTCCCTCTAATGTACTCATCATTACTAATCCCAGTCTGCTCACTCCCAATGAAAATCTTAACATCTTCAGCTTGGCCTCATGTGTTTTTGTCAGTGTCAGCATCTCCAAACCTTACATCATAGCAGGTCTCACTGCCATCTTGGAAACCTTCTGTCACAAATCACCTCTGACACTGGTTTCCACCACCCACACCACCCCACATGCACTCTCTTCTTCAACTCTCTTGTTCATGAAGCACGTGTTTAGGAAACGAGTGTGCACACTTTAAACATCAGAATCAGAATCAGAATACTTTATTGATCCCTGGGGGAAATTATTTTTTGTTACAGTGCTCCATTTTAAACCAACATTAAAACAAGACAGACAATACGCTAACTAAGAATAGTACAATATATACATATATATACATACATACATACATACATACATACATACATACATACATACATACATACATACATACATACATACATAAGTCACTTATAAATAAATATTTGGAAAAGAAACATGTGTAGCTGTAGCAGCAAACAGTGTGTTAAGTATTAATACATATTATTTGTATTGACTTTATATGAACCGATGCAGTCATTAAAACTATCTGGGAGACTTAGTTGTGTGCACTTGTGCGTCATACAGTGGAAACTATTTTAAGGTGCCATTACCACAGCAACAGTAGTTTGTTGTACACAGAGTACATTTCTCCCCTTTTTGTTCACTGTATAACTTCAGCAGCTAAAATACTGCCAAGCTGTGTCTATACTGTTCGGCATCAGAACAACAGTTTGTTATTTCTGTGTGTGTGTGTGTGTGTGTGTGTGTGTGTGTGTGTGTGTGTGTGTGTGTGTGTGTGTGTGTGTGTGTGTGTGTATTTAGATTTTATCCAGGTAGTTAATGGTTCTCGGTTTGCCCGTTTTTAATTGATTACGTTCACAGGCCTTCACCAAAGAGAGCCACAGACAGACTCATTAAACTGAAACAAAATGCATACATGCATTTTCCATGTAGTTTTGTTTTGTAACATTTTAACTACAGTGTAAAATGTTACAATGAATTGAATCTGATCAAATTGTCTGTTTACAGGCACATTTTCCTTAATGGTTAATTATTAATTAATAAACATTTAATTTGTTATAGTTTTTCATATTTGTTTCATTTTACTCAGAGTTGTTGCTTCATATTGATTGATTGTGACAGTTATATGCCATGGGCATGTATGGCTGCCAGTGGAAGCAGGTCACTACTGTTTATTGATGACGTGACTGCTGATAGAAACAGCAGCAGGATGAATGCTGAAGGACAGAGCTTCACAGTGCAAATGGATAATGACCCAAACCAAACTGCATAAACAACCTAAGATGGCCAAGAAAGTATAGAGACCCACAAACAATCAGCAGCTGAAGGTGGCTTTAGTCTCAAAGGAAGATATGCAGCAGCTGGTGTTCTCCATTGGTTCTAGACTTATTTTCCCCAGTTACTTTAGAGCCTCTGTAAATTGGGTACTTTGTATAGCTACAATGTTTTTATTAAAACCCTTGAATCAAAGTTCAAAGTCTGTACTTCAGTCACATCTTAACTCTTTCAAACTCCACGAAAAAAAAAAAGATGGAATTTGTTTCATTTTGTTGTCTTAAACTTCTGGACCTAACTCTGTAATTGCACCACATAACATCACTGACTTTGAAGAGTCTCTTTTAGGTCATTCAGTGTTTTAACATATAGTTTTTAAAATAATTGGGAATGAAAAAAAAATGTTCAGAAAGAAGCAGCAAATTAAAACGTGGATGAAATCACACTGGAAGCAGGAGGGGAAAAAGCTGGCCACCATTAACACAGGAGAGGCACAATATCGTGGGAATTTGTAGAGAAAACAGGGCACTCATGGAAGATACTCATTATACTTGCTCCAGTGTTTACATGAATAATGACAGAAATAGCTGACACAGTTTAGGAGTGAACTGTGTCTAGATGGCGGTTACAGAAAGCATCGAACACAGCTGACAAATTGAGACTTCCGAAACGTGTGAGTAGGTTTCCAGAGAGTAAGCTGATGCTTGGTCCCTTTGGGCATCGTAAATACTGAATCATCCAGTGTGTATCGGGAGTCATCTGAGGATGCATAAAGATAACAACAGCTCCTCTCTTTCATTCACAGGTATGAAGAATAGGGAGCTGCTGGAGTCGTCGCGCGGGCATGTTTGTCCTCTGGCCGTTCAGCCTGTGTGTCTCTGCTGTGCACACAGGAGGGAGAAGAAAGACCGTCTAAAAATAAACTGACACCCACCACCAGCAGGAAAACAACATCCAAACTGACAAAAACAGAGAAAAAGAGCAAAGAAGAGCCCTCTTTCCACCCTGTCTGCCTCTTTCTCTGCTCCATTTCTGTTTCTGTGTCCTCATTACGTGCTGAGAGGAGGTCATGTCCCAGTCTGGAAAAGTCCTTCATCTGTATGTGGAAGTGAGGTCTGCCCCAGATCAGAATGGAGGAAAGAGGGAGAGTGAAGAAGGGATTGCTCAGGGGCATTCGGTTCAGGACAGTCCCGCGGAGCTCCTCTCTCAGCTAACGAGCCAGACGACACGCCAGATCGTCAGCAAAGCCTCCACGGCTCGCCACCTGGCTCAGGACTGCACGCACGGCCAGTCTCCCTCTCGAAACACCGTTAGCTTTCAGCTCCAGCAAACCAGCAGCTCACCTACGATCAGCAAGCGTTGGAGCTCACCCCTGCACTCTTCACCAGCGACCTCTTCAGGAAAAGTCAGTGTCCCTCACACCCCTCCTATTCGCAAGAGACTTAATGAAGAGGAAGTCAGCGACGGGAAGCGGAGTGTGGTCACCTTCAGTTACGTCGAGAAGTCAAATGTGAAGAAAGTGGAGAGTCCACGCAACTCTGTGTGCGAGAGACAAGCCAAAGAGGAATGGTCCACGTCTTCCAGCTTTCGAAAACGCCTCAGCGACCCAGTTTGGTTTGGGAGTCCCGATTCATCGTGCAGCTCCAGTCCCAAGCTGACTTTCCAGAGTCCAGGAAGTCACCAGCAGACGTTCTCCCCCGGCCTTTGCAAGCCACACTTTGACCCCATCGGCAGGGCAGCTACCAAGAGGGCTGTAGAGGAGTTTGGATCCCCCTTATTGAGGATTAAACTGGCCCACGCACTTGAGCACACCTCAGCTTCATGCTACTACCAACAACCGCGCTGTCAGTCCTGGGCTGGATCTCCCGTTCAGCGTCAGAACATCAGCGTAAACCCCAAAGATCTGGCTCCATGTGGGCTGCCTTGGAGCCCAGCCTCAGACCAGCTATCCTCGCAGTCCAAGCAGTCCTCGCTTGAGAGATCTGGGCCCCCTGAGCCCCAAAGCCCTCTTCTGACTGGAAGTCCAGCTGTCAACAGACACATTAAGAGGACCTGCAATATGAGCACTTCACCGCAGGGCGCAATCCTCCAACTTGGCAATAATGGAGTCGACGGTTTGAACCAGTTAAGCAACAGCAAATCTTCCTCTCCAGCTCACAGTCCTGAAGAGGCCACCAAAGCATCTTCAGTTCTCACAGAGGCGAGGAGGTCCTCGTTGCACAATCCTTTAGGAGAGCTCACAAGCAGCTCAAACTCTGGAGAACCCGCTCCAAATGCACAACAGTTTAAGCAAACGCTCAGAATGAACATCCCTTTAAACGACCAACAACACACGCCAGCAACCGACAACACAGACTCACACCAGCCTGAAAACTCACGATCACAAGAGACAAACTGTCACACTAATCATGACACAATGCAGCAGAGCTCCATCTTATCAGCCACTCAGAATTCCCCCGCCCTTCCTTCACGTGTCCTTCGTCCCTCTCATCCTCCCACAGAGCTCAGCTCACCCATTAGGGACCCGAGGCTATTCCAAGCTGAGCTCCGACCACCAGATACCCCCACCCTGCATCGCCGTCAGCCGCCACAGTACACTGGAGACTCCTGGTCCCCAGGCCTGGACAGGAGAGGAGATCCAAGCTGTTTCGAGAAAGGGGACTGCACAGAGCTCGCTCGCAGACTCTTTATCAATCAAAGTGTTGAGGAGGCGCCGGTCAGCTGGACTTCCAGGCAGGAGTGGGGGAATGGCGTGGAAAACAGCCCCAAGCCAAGCCCCGACCCCGTATTACAGTCTAAAAGGGTCCAAACATCTGATCAACAATCCAGGCAGCGCCGCAGGCCTCTCAGCCCGACAGCACAGCAGAAGCGGGCTGAGCAGAGGAGGAGGGAGATCCTTCTTCTGGGTCCTGTGGTGCTGGACTCTGGAGAGGAGGATGAGGGCTGTGATGAGGAAGAGCAAGGTAACGAGAGGGAGGGATACGGTGCAGCACTGCAGCCTCGTTCTCGAAGGGCCGAAGAGCCTCCTGAGGGGGAGCAGAATGGCATTATGGGAGGGTCGTCTTCACGGAGCTCCAGCGGGGTGACGGGGAGCTTGGGAGACAGGGACTGTGTGTCCCCAGAGTCCAGCCAGTCCAGTCACCAGAGCAATGAGACCGGGGCTGCCACCTCAGGAATACAGGTGGGTTCTGCTGATAACAAAAAAGAAGGAAGGAAGGCATACTTGGATTTTTGACTGTATGCTAACCACCTTTTCCCCTCCTGCCCATTAATGCTGCACTGCAGAGTTAGCCTCTAAGCTAGTGTGTGTCTCTTGCAGACGGACAGTGGATGTGCAGCGCCCGTGCCCTCGCTGCACTGTCAGAAGATCGCTCGTGCTAAGTGGGAGTTTTTATTCGGGACCCCTGCTGAGGAGGCTGCTGGCAGGGGGGAGAAACGTGAGAGCATTTCTGTCTTACTTATATTGAGTTTCTGCACGTTCTGCCTTCATGTTCTTCCTTCCTCTCATGGGAACATTTCACACAGAGATAGAGAAGCTAGTGAAGTAGCAGTACTGCTTTCAATGTCGCAGTTTGTCGCTCAGGGAAACATACTCAGGTGTGATGTGTCAGCTGATACAGGAACAGCAGCAGGGATTTCTTCACAAAAGCTTTTCTGTTTAACTAAGGAAAATAAAATCAGGGCGCTTCCTAATATAATTCTCCCATTTATTGTAAACATTTTAGTTTCAACAAGGATATCTGTGAATTTTATTTATTGTTATCATCATAGAAATATTTGAAAAAAGTAAAAAAAAAAATTTTTTTTACCGAACTTGCAAAGTAAACCATAACATTCACAATTTGAGAAAACGGTGTTTGGCAGCACGATGCAAGAAGGCAGTGTTCTACTCCCTACCATTTACAAAGGGGAACCAATCAGAAGAAAGCTTGCTTAAACGAAGGATGGTCTTAAAGGGGGAGGAGCAAAAATAGCTTGCTTCAGACATATGATCAGCTGCAAAGCTATGCTAAGAGCTAGTAGCCCTATAGCCCTGCCAGACTGGCGACCTGTCCAGGGTGTACCCCGCCTCTCGCCCTATAACAGCTGGGATAGGCTCCAGTGCCCCCCGTGACCCTGAAAGGGATAAGTGGATGGATGGATCATCAATTTAACATGTAACTTGATCAATCAAAGGTATATAAATTGACAGTAATAGAATACAAATTTGATGCTGTAAATATTCTGATGTTATACACTGAACAAAAATATAAACGCAACACTTTTGTTTTTGCTCCCATTCCCCATGGGATGGACGTAGAGACCTAAAATTCATTCCAGATACACAATATAACCATCCCTCCCAAACAGTGGTCACAAATCAGTCCAAATGTGTGGTAGTGGGCACATCTGCTATATTGAGATAATCCATCCCACCTCACAGGTGTGCCACATCAGGATGCTGATCTGACATCATGAGTAGTGCACAGGTGTACCTCAGACTGCCCACAACAAAAGGCCACCCTGGAATGTGCAGTTTTGTCTCACAGCAAAATGCCACAGATGCCACAAGCAATGAGGGAGCGTGCAATTGGCATGCTGACAGCAGGAATGTCAACCAGATCTGTCGCCCGTGCATTGAATGTTCATTTCTCAACCATAAGCCGTCTCCACAGGCGTTTCAGAGAATATGGCAGCACATCCAACCGGCCTCACAACCGCAGACCTCGTGTAACCACACCAGCCCAGGACCTCCACATCCAGCAGGTTCACCTCCAAGATCGTCTGAGACCAGCCACCCAGACAGCTGCTGGAACAATTGGTTTGCACAACCAAACAATTTCTGCACAAACTGTCAGAAACCGTCTCAGGGACGCTCAACTGCATGCCCGTCGTCCTCATCGGGGTCTTGACCTGACTCCAGCTCGTCGCCGTAACAGACTTGTGTGGGCAAATGCTCACATTCGATGGCGTCTGGCACGTTGGAGAGGTGTGCGCTTCACGGATGAATCATGGTTCACATTGTTCAGGGCAGATGGCAGCTGAGAATGTCCCAGTTCTTGGATGGCCAGCATACTCACCGGACATGTCACCCATTGAGCATGTTCGGGATGTGCTTGACCGGCGTATACGACAGCGTGTACCAGTTCCCACGAATATCCAACAACCTCGCACAGCCATTGAAGTGGAGTGGACCAACATTCCACAGGCCACAATTGACAATCTGATAGACTCCATGCGACGATGTGTTGCACTGCATGAGGCAAATGGTGGTCACACCAGATACTGACCGGTTCTGGGTCCCCAGACCCCCAATAGCGCAAAAAACTGCACATTCCAGGGTGGCCTTTTGTTGTGGGCAGTCTGAGGTACACCTGTGCACTACTCATGATGTCAGATCAGCATCCTGATGTGGCACACCTGTGAGGTGGGATGGATTATCTCAATATAGCAGATGTGCCCACTACCACACATTTGGACTGATTTGTGACCACTGTTTGGGAGGGATGGTTATATTGTGTATCTGGAATGAATTTTAGGTCTCTACGTCCATCCCATGGGGAATGGGAGCAAAAACAAAAGTGTTGCGTTTATATTTTTGTTGAGTGTATATTGAAAAGGGGAAGAACAGACTTTTGGTCATTGCAGTCATAAAAATTCATTCAGTCATAACGATTAAGGCTTTAAACTTATGAGGAAAGTGTTACTGAGGTCGCAAATAAAGGCGCTTCTGGGCTGTTTTTCCATAGACTTCTATATGACCCAGTCTTTGTAAGCAGGGGAGTGGCACACTGCTAATCACCTCTACATTGTCCTCAGAAACCACATATGCCTTTTAAGTGATCATAATTGATTTTCTTCCTCTGCAGATTCTCCAGAGGGAACCTCCACAGCTCCTCCTAGTGGTAACTCCAGTGAGTCTCCCACCCCTACTCCGCCATCCTCCCTGCCTCTGCTTTCAGCCAACCACGAGGTGCAGCACGTGGAGGTAGAGCTGGTGACCCCTCCCCCAGCCGTCATAGGAACATCGCCCAAAACGGGCATCATTCGCAGGACACTCAAGTATTCAGAAACTGACCTGGACGCTGTCCCGCTTCGATGCTACCGTGAGACGGACATAGACGAGGTGCTGCTGGCCGAGCAGGAAGACGCCGACTCTGCATTTGGGAGCAACCGCAGCGTGCAGGGAACCTCAGGGACGGGCAGCAGCCCTCTGGGAGGGCTGGCTTATGGGAGAACAGATGGGGAGGAGGAGGCGATGAGGGAAGGAAGAGCTGTGGAGGAAGAAGGAGAAGACGATGAGGAGGAAGAGGAAGAAGAGGAAGAAATGGTGAGCTGGGCAAGTGTGAGGATGCAGGGAGACAGCAGGAAGCAGCAGTGTGCAGCTGAGGAGGAGCCTGAGGTGTTTGGACACCTTCTGAAGAGGTGAGCAGACGCCTCGTGTGAAGCTGTAAACACAAACAGGAGAATTCTGGTGATGCGGGATGTTCCCCTGACCTAAATGTAGGGATCTCATCCCTAACCTACTTTTCAAGTTGGTCATAATCAGGAAGTAAAAGTCACACCTTTAAACAGTTCAGTAAATTACGTTCTGGCAAAAGAAAAAAAAAAATCTTATCAAAAGTCTCTTTTTCTTTATTTTCTATCCTGTCTGTTCAGACCAGTGGAAACCTTTTTCGACAACCACCATCCAGCCTTGAAATCCCCCATCTTGGTATCCGGACCCCGCCTCGCCACAGAGGACACCTTCAGCCGCCACTTTGAGAGCATCATGGAGTCGCACCGAGCCAAAGGGACGTCGTACAACAGCCTGGACAGCGAGGAGCTGCTCACCTCCAGCACCCACACTGTCCTGACCTTTGACCTGCCCACACTAACACCCGCTATCCACGGCCCCGTGTGCCAGAGCGCCAGGCAGATCGTCCAGCTCAGCTTCGCCCCGCTGGCGCACGATGAGAGGCCCAGTCTGTCTGACTCTATCTTTACTGTGACGGGGGACTCGGACGCCACCCGAGCTCCCTCCAGCGAGAGGCTGAGCAGCGGATCAGATGATACCCCGCCCAGAGGGCAGGAGCGTTCACAGCTGGGGAGCAGCTGGTACAGCAACTCCTCCTTCTCCTTACCCAGGTGAGATCGCCTGTCAGGTGGAAAGTTCACTGATTAGTATTTTTGGTGAGTCTGAGATGTTATTTACGTATAAAAATCTGGGGGAGGATTCTGAAAAATTCTGCATCACTTTCAATGGGATCTTAAGAGGAGGAGAGGTGCAAAAAAAGCTATTGATTAAACCAAACTAGGGAGAAAATTACTCTAAACTACAGAAAACAGCTTCACAACAAGATGCCACCTCCTCACTGGGTCTAACGCTTAATCAGAGTATAAAAAGTACAGCTGGGGGCTGTGGCTCAGGAGGTAGAGCAGGTTTGGTGGTTCGATCGCTCCAGTCTTCATACCAAATGATCCTTGGGGAAGATACCAAACACAGTTGCTCCTGATGCATGAATGTTAGATATAAAACACTTAGATGCAGAAAAAGTGTTTGTATCAATGTGTGTGAGTAGGTAAATGAGGCATGAAGTATAAAGTGCTTTGGTGCTCAAGTAGAGGAGAAAAGTGCTGTTTAAGAACCGGTCATTCAAACAGTGCCAGTGGTTACAGAAAACCCCTTTCATTTTCTCCTGCACTGCTACTGTGCTCCAGGCCGTTACTACTCAGGAAATAATCATCCAAACTTGTCTTCACTGCCATTATTATCAGCTGATTTCCAGGAAACACATGTAAAACACATCAGAAGAGCGGGAAATACAATCCCCCAAAACATCAACCTTATTCTGACTAACAGAGCACGTCACAAACCCACAAACAGAGAACAGAAACTTGATAACAATTAGGCTTATCGCCGTTTCTCTTTGAGATCAGGGTCTGATGAAAAGGGGGAAGGATCTATTTCACATGTTAAGGTCAATGTGTCCTGAAGGAGCCGTAAGGGGAAAATACACCATCGTCACAGGGTGTGGGGGCCGATTTTCATCTGTTCGTGCTCCTTTTTGCTTCTCTGAAATGACCTCACCTTCCAATGTCAACATGAGCAAAAGCTTTAAATTTAGCTCTCGCTCTTGACTGGCGATAAATTCGCCGGTCGAAGGCCATTTTTTTATGAGAAGAAGTGACACATACCGTAATGAAATCTGAACACAAGGAGACTCCTTGGACACACAGCTGTAAACGTTGACGTGTCTCCAGTGTCCACTTACGATCCGCCCGCACAACATGTAACAAGTGCAAACAGAGTTAATATGTCAGCATAGTGATACTAAAAGTGCTCCATTGCATCTCTGTATCTTAATTCTTTCACTCTGCTGCATCAACTTTGTAGTTCAAAGCCTAATTTATCATATAGTGGGCTTAGTACAGCCCATCAGTTCATCTTCTACCTGAAATATGCTGTTGTAGCGTTCTTTCCATCTTCTTATAAGCCAACTTACTGTATCAGGGAGGGATCCCTCTTTCTATGACATTATGCAGAGCATATATATATATATATACTACACTTGAGAAATAATAATCATATAAACCTCTCTGGACAGGCAAAGCTACAGTATGTAAACAGGACCTTATCTTTTGTATTTCTGAATCCTTTTCCCTTTAAATACTAATTCTACAACACACAACAAACAAATCCAGGTCCGTCTAATATGCTTAAAGTTGACTTTTTCACTGAGTCGAACCCCGACCTGCCACCCAGCCTGGCATTATGAGCCAACATCAGTGCCGGACCTCACTAACGCTCCTGTGGCTGAACGGCGGAAAGTCCCTGAAGCCAGGATCTGGCAGAGAGCCTGAAACCAGAAGGCAGGGGAGGCTGCTCCAGCAGGAGATTAATCTGGGTTTTTGGAAGGAGATGTTCCAACGGTCATAAGCTGTTTTCCCACACGGACAGATTCAGATTATTTCAGGAGAATCAGATCCAGATATTTTACAGTTTTTGTAAAACTTGTATCACACAGCAGGAAATAGTTCACATAAAAGTAAAAGGTCAACACACCACACTATTAGCTGAGCAGCTCATTCGCACATCGGCACAATAGGACATCACACTGAGTTTAAGAGGGGGCTGTCAGGTTATAGCAGACATTTACATTTCTAACATGCACTTCACATGTCTGGAAGTTCAAAATCAAGAACCTTTATTGTCACACAATAAAATGACAGTTATAGCAACCTTAGATGGTGTGTGATGTGCCACAGATATGAAACATAAAATATCATAAATATAAAATGCGTTTTTATATATATATATATATATATATATATATATATATATATATATATATATATATATATATATATATATATATTAGGGGTGCAACGATATTCTTATCGATATTGAACCGTTCGATACAGTGCTTTCGGTTCGGTATGCATATGTATCGAACAATACAACATTTGTAATTTATTTTATCAACTTTCCTTCTGACGATGCTGTCTGTGTTGAGCGCTCAGTGAATCTGCGTTCCACTACTCCGCTGCACTGTCGAGCGCAGATCCACTGAGCGCTCAACACAGACAGCATCGTCAGAAGGAAGAGCGCAGGGCACCTCCCCCACCCTCATTCAGATCTGGTGTTTGGAATTATTTTGGTTTTCATGTGACATATGACCCTGAAGGTAAGCGAGTCATGGACTAAAGTAAAACAGTATGTTGGATGTGCCATGCAATGCTCAATTACATGGGTGTGAACTAGTGTGTTAGCGCAGTTAGCTCGTTAACGTGTTGGCTGTCTAGCCCCATGCACGGGGTGATCGGCGGTAGCTCGTTAACGGAGATTTGCCGTGTTGTGGCGTTAAGGTCATTTCAACGAGATTAACCTGAAAGCACTAGTGGGAACACAACGAATATGACTGCACATTTACGCCGACATCATCCTAGTGCAAAGACAAAAACAACAAGCATGCTACTAACTTTAGCCGAGTCATTTAGACAGCTGTTAGCACATGATTCTCCTTATGCTGCTGAGAATATAGCCCAGAAGAAGCGGATAGTATAGCTTTTATTTTGGAAAGAGACATTTCTCTGTAATAAACTCTCTTTTCCAAAGATGAGTGATTCCTCAATCAGATACAGGGCTCGCAATATCGCTAGCCCGAAGTCCCGGAGCTAGCGATTTTTCCAGTCGGGCTATTGTAGGAAGAAAATATATGTCAATGCTTTTGCATTCTTTCAGAAATGTAGCTGGGTAATTATGTCATTGGCATCGGTGAGCCACTGTCGCGTTTGAATTTGCGCTTGTTTTTTGCTTTCACTTTGCAATCATGCGAACTGTGTATAGAGAGCGACAGCACTGATCTGTGAGTGATGATAATTTGTGCACCAATTCCTCTGACATCGTCTTATTAATCGTTAGCTTACTATGCAAACATGACAAGTGAAATCTCCCACAGCAAGCTTAAACATGTGAGAGGTTGATTGCGCAGAGAATCGCTGAGCTTATGTGAGTGAGCGTGTAAAAGCATTTCAGTTCTGCTGAGCCAAATAAGACAGGTCAGGGTGAAGAAGTGACAGCCAAAGAAAAGCTTACCACAAAACGGAGAAGTTATGACAAATCAGACTATAAGGCAAAAAGAAAGTGCAGCTTTATGGTTTCATGGACAAAAGAATTTCTGTGGCTGCAATATGACGAGCTAAATAACCAGGGCTGCACATAAGTGGTCCGCAGGTGCGCATTCGCTGTCAAAATAAAAAACACGTACAAGGGTTAGGGTTAAATTTAAAAACTGTACTTTTGAGTTAAAATATATATTTATAATTTTAATAAATGACAAATTAAAAAGGCATGAACATTTTTTTTGTATCGAAAAAATATCGAACCGTGACACCAAAGTACCGAACCGAACCGAACCGTGAATTTTGTGTATCGTTGCACCCCTAATATATATATATATATATATATATATATATATATATATATATATATATATATCTCAGGTGTCCGACTTGGCCATGTAAGAATGTTCCACTTCTTTGCTTAAATAAACTCCTGGGTTGCTTTAGCTGTATGTTTTGGGTCATTGTCCATCTGTATTATGAAATGCCTCTCAATCCATTTGACTGCTTTTAGCTTTGAGTAGACAGTAAGTCTCTGAACACCTCAGAATTCATTCAGCTGTTTCTGTCCTGTGTCGAATCACCAGTAAACACTAGTGTCCCAGTGCCGCTGGCAGCCATGCACACCCAAGCCATCACACTGTGTGTCTGCCATGTTTTACAGATGATGTGGTATCCTTTGGATCACGAGCTGTTCCACACTTTCTTCATACTTTTTTCTTACCATCACTCTGGTAGAGGTTGATCTTGGTTTCATTTGTACAGAGAATGTTTCTCCAGAACTTTTTTTTTAGATGTTTTTTTTTTTTTAAGCGAAGTCCCATCTAGCCTTTCTATTCTTGAGGTTTATGGGTGGCTTGCACCTTACAGTGAACCTTCTGTATTTACTTTCATGTAGTCTTCTCTTCATGGTAGACTTGGATATTGATATGCCTACCACCTGGAGAGTATTATTCACTTGGTTGGCTGCTGTGAAGGGGTTTCTCTTTACCATGGAAATGATTCTGCGATCATCCGCCACTGTTGTCTTATGTGGATGAAAAGTCAGAGTTGTTCTCTCTGAATGGAGTTTTAAATCACAGAGTTTCTGAAGTAGATTCAGTTCTAATGCAGCGTTGATTGTCTCCTATCTGAGGTCAGAGCCCTGTTAATGGACTGTTGTCAGGTTCCAGACTAACGAGCGTCTCTGCCTCTGTCTGTCTCCCTGCACAGAGCACTGCAGCAGTGCTATTCTGGAGAGTCGAGTATGCTAAAGTGAAGGTCGTTAGAAGGCCGCCTGTGGTCCCTCTGCTGTCTGCCAGCCGTGTATGGGTGTATCCATCTGTCTGTGCGTGTGTTTGTGCATGCACATGCACCCTTTTCTTTGGGTTTGTGTGTGCGTGAAGTGCATGCACGGATGTGTGATGCACAGCAGATGGCGGCTGCAGCAGCGAGAGACTCACCTTGACTGTCCCAAAGACTTCATTTTGTCTCTCTGCAGAGTGTTTATCTGAATGCAGATAGCCCTGACACGCACATGCCGGTATATGTGACAGATTCCACCTGTTTCTGCTTTTCGGTGTCTCCAACTCTGCTTATGTGTGACTGCTTTGTGAATGTCACCCTAACTTAGTGTGACAGCACTGCAGAGGTGGAGTGAGCGCACTGCTGCTGCTTTCGCCACAAGATGGCGTAAGAGGACAGCAGTCTTGCTGCCGAGTGCTGTTTGGAAAGAGTGAGCGTAATATGTTGCAGGTGTGTGACTTGCAGCCCGATCACAGTGTGTGTTTTAGTGTGTTTGTGTGTCCAAGGAAGGAATCGGTCTCAAGTTTCAGCGGATTCATAGTCAAAATCTTACAAAACAAAGCAGCTTCATTTTGTCTCATTTTGTAAACCTGAACTCGTACTTTAGTTTCAGATTTTTTCCTGATGAACTAAACAGTGAAGGCAAATGTTTGCTAAGTGCTGATCTTATCGCACTCTTGCTGGCCTGAAGCTGTGGAATCCAGGAGTGAGACGGCCAGGCAAATATCCCTGAAGGCTTGTCCATACTTTGATAAAAGTTGGAATTTCGCTCCCCTCCTCCCTCTCCTCCTACTCCTCCTCTTCCTCCTTCCCTCACATCACCCTTTTCAGATGCTCTGTACCATTAGACAGTGGCTCATTGTGTCGAGCTGCCCAGTGGACTGAGAGGGGGTTCAATTATCCGTGGACACCGTTAAAGCAGAGGTTGACACTGGGAATTCTCTCAGGCCCTCTCGGCATTGTGCTGGCTCTCGATGGGACAATGCTAACAGGTGGCAGAGCCTAAGCTACAGTGCTGGCGTAATCTCATAATTATGAACACTCCTGCAGGCCCAGATGAAGCGTATGCTGTAAACAGATGTAGACAAAAGGCCACCTTTTCTTTGCCCGAGGCAGCAGAGCAAACCGTTTGGGCACACACACCCAGCAGTTTAAACCTGACACTTCACACTTTTGGTGTTCTGTGTAGGTGTGTGAAAAAAAAGCTTACATCACAAACAAGGTAAACTACAATTTGAACAACACTCAAAGGATGGACATGCCAAGTGCGTGTAATTGGAGATGCGTGTAGACGGAGAGAGGAATGAATGCAGGAGGGTGATTTTTTTTTTTTAGGGAAAAGACAAGCCAAGTCTCATGCCATGCTTTGAATCCAAGGTCAGTAGGGGACAGTGAGAGTTTACACAGTGGAACAGGGAGGGAGAAAGAGAGAGGGAGGAGTGAAAAGAGGGAAGAGAAACAACAGCAAACAGACTCAGAGGGGAAAAGATAGAGTCCGAGAGGCATTGCAGGACAAACAGCTCTTTTACTTTGGGGGGGAGAGAGGAGGCTTGCTGAGAGGATCAAATGACAGCAAACACGGGGGGAGAGTGAGAAAGTGGACGGAAAGAAAGGAGGCACCCATGAAGTCTCAGTCAGCCTCGAAACCCGGGAGAGGAGCGTCAAAGCCTGCTGGCCTCCTGGGAGAGAGTGCAGGTGTTCTCCTACATTAGGCCTGCCAAGTGCACGGCGATGCGTTCAGGGTACGAGGCGAGGGGGAGAAGAAGGTTCAGTCGGGCGAGCGGTCAGAGGAGAGGCGCCGGCCATGTGACGCCAGCGAGGACGCCGGCCGTCTTCTGTTGTCAGGGCTCGTCTGCAGCCGGGGAGGAGAGGTACTTAGAAAATAGGCGGTCTTGCCACAGGTAGGTCAACACCCAGGAACCTGTCTCACCTGTCTGTCGTGTATATGTGAACATTTGAATATCATGTTTGTGGAACAGACGTGCAGATATGCAGATAACAGTAATTCTGGGAAAATTGTCTGACTGCCCATGTAGCTCTCGTGAACATCGAGACGTTTGCCCAACTTTTTCCTTCGCTTTGGACTTTTAATTTCAAGTTAGTGATGACGGCTGATCGCGGGATGGTTCAGAACTTTATGTCATTGTAAATTTCTGGCATGGAGGGCTATAAAGTTCCAGACATCCATTACCATCAGGCTTTGAACAGTCACGACTCCCAGATGTTATATCAGCACAGTGGAAACAAAAAACTCAGTTTTAACAGGAAGAAAGCTGAAGGCCCAGGGAGAGGCTTACTTATATGTGCCATAAAAAGTATTAGAACACTGCATCTTGTTTTAAAAACATCTATTCAGCCGTTAGTGAACTTCATTCTTATTTAATTGTTTAAATAAATCTAAACTAAATGTTAATTAACTTTCAGTTAAAAAATACATATTTCTTTCCACTTTTGCTTCAGTTGCTCAATTGTTGGGTTCACATTTGCACTTTTTATCGGATGTTTATGGGTGTAGACATTCCTGAGGTTAAAACCTCGGTTGATGTTTTTGGTATTGATGAAAATATGTTGGTGCCTTGTGAAGAGACTGTTATATGAAAATGTGGTGTGGACTAAGGTATTATAGTTAACTAAATCTAGCTGTGAAAAAAAAACATTGTAGTTAACACAAATACAAAATAGACTTTTTAAAAATTAAAAATAGCTGCAATCAAATAAAGAAATATCCTTATTTGTTTGGTAAATTAGCTTTAAATGAGCTTTTTAAAAAATCGGTTTAGATTGTAATATCCATTTCTTGTAGGGATTTTGAGTTGTTGGGTTCACGTTTGGATTTTTATTTAAACTTTCCCATAAATTACTCGATGTTTTGTGGATACATGCACTTCAGACATCGTGGAGTCTGAAGTCTAGTGAGAGAGGACTTCACTCTTCCTCAGCTCTAGCACCACCAGCAGGTCATCACTTCTTTTACTATTTCAGCATCTTCTGGGACATTCATGGTCCCGGGTCGTGAATGCCCACGATTCCTGTTGATCCCCTGACCTTGTATCTAAAGCTAGCAGCAGGCTGACATGTTTTGGCTTTTAGTGGATTGTCTTAACAGCTGTTGAACTCATATTATTTAAGAGACCCCCCGACTTTTCCTCTAGCAGCCTGTACCAGCAGGCCACATCAGAGTATCTGTTTGAAGCATTGGTGCACAAATTTCTGCAGTTAACAGATGGAAAATTAAACAGTAAAAAAATCAGTTTTGCTGGGAGATGGTGGCCTAGTTTCTTTTTTTTTCCATTAGGGTTAGATTCACTCTGTATTTTATCCAACACAGTGTCACAAATCTATTGATCATTCTTGTGATTTTTATGACCCCGTCCCTGTCTGCCCTCATATGCACTGATTCTTGTCCACATTTAGAGGTCGGAGCAGAGCACATCAGAGATCCAAGTTTGAGTTATGACCACAGATGGGGTTACTTTTCAGCCACTACTTCACATTTTTCTACGGCGATGGGCTGATTCTGTTCATTTTCTCAACATCTATTGACTCCATTGCTGTAGAATTTACAAAACAACAAGAGATCTGGTGGACTGGTCATCACTGACCGCTCAAAGAAAACACAAATGGTATATTTTCCTCTATAAACCCATTTATTCTCTTTCCAGTACCAACAGTTACCAGCTACGCTCCTCTGAGCGGTTGCACTTCGAACATGAAATAATTTAAATATTTTATGTTGTATTTGTAGCATTTTTTAGACGTTTCAGCTTTTATGGCTCCTATCTTGGTTAGGTCTTTAATGTAAAAGAGATCTCAGTTGGACTTCCTGTTAAAATAGAGGTAATGATAAATAATAATAAAAGACACTTTATTCCAGATTTGGGAAATTCTTTCTATTTTAAAAGTAATGAAATAATAAGGCATTCACTCCTCCCACTTGTAGTCATCCTTCCACTTTCATCTTGGATCACAATCTAGTAAAAATGCACACTTCTCCATTATCTTGTTTTTTTTAAAACTCAAAATAAAAATATTTTCAAAATAAAGGCGCCCATCTGCCAAACTGCACTGTGTTTACTGCAAATTAGCATGCTAACACAAGGACCTCAGACTCAGTCTCAGTAAACATTTTACCGGCTGATCCTCTGTGTGCTTTGTGAAACCACAGTTGACCTTTGAACCCTTGTGGCTTTCTGTTTTTAATCCCTGTTTGCTCTGGTGTGATTTGCCTGACTCATGTACAGTATGAGAATGTGTGAATGAGCGAAGCGAAGCCTGTGGGTTTTCTTGGCTCGCTCCTCATGCCGAGAGATCCAAGTGAGAGCTCGCCTTATTCAGGAAGTGTTTTCGTTCTTTCTTTCTTTCTTTTTGGATTACATCTCTGGGCTGCTGGACTGTCTTTGTTTTCTCTGGCGTGACCAGAATGGCCACGCAGCTCTAGATGGCACAGACAAAAAACAAAAAAGCCAAAGTCATGTTGAGTTTTCGGCAAGTGAACTCAGAGACCTCATTCATCTTTAAGCAGAGGATGGAAAAGTAGTTCTCTTTTAGCTCAGTGTGACATAACATGCTTAAATTATTATCACAGGAATAATTCAGATGTAATAAGTTTCACACTTCTGAACTGGCTAATGCTTTGAAGGGGCTTAATTAGGAGGTGATAACAAAAGTGGGAAAGCTGGCAAAAGAGGAGATTCTGAATGCAGTTGATAAACTACATAATCTACGGCATGCTGTGTTTGAATATAAAATTAAAGATCTGCATATGTTCTGATGTATGTGATGCTCAGCTTGTTTATTCGGTTGTTTCCAGCACATTCAGGATTCATCACGTGTCTTTACTCTTATTTTATTTCACATTTTTACATTTTTTTTGCTGCTTTTCCCCGATCAGGCTCGCTGTTTTCATCTCTCTTTTATCTGGTCTCGTTTTCTTTACTTACACAGGAAACATTAATATCATTAAATTATTGATAAACTGGATTTATGGGGTTTATTATATCAGCGTCATTCTTTGTTCCCCCTTTTATCCTTTTTTGCACTGTCCCTTTGAATTATTCACCATTTCTGTTAACCATAATGTTCTTTATTTCCTTCTCAGCACCTGATTTTAATAACTCTTTCCACTTTGTCTTACACCACCACCTTCCCATCTTACCCCTTAGCAGGGAGAAGGCCCGTCTAGCGACCGACTCCGAGCTGGACCAGGACCTCAGCGACAGGCTGGGCCTGGGCAGCAGTGACACCCTGACCAACGGCAGCCATCGTGCCGATGTGGCAGCGGCCAAACGCCTGGCCAAACGTCTCTTCAACTTGGACGGCTTCAGGAAGTCGGATGTAGCGCGTCACCTCAGCAAGAAGTAAGCTGCTGCATTCAGCCACAAGGCTCTATCAGCCTTCACCTGCAGCACTTTGGATCAACTAAAAGGCTTCTTATGGAGCTCTTAGTACAAACTAATAATAATGATGATGATGTTTAATTACAGTAGTCCAGCCAAGAAGTAATAAGTGCATAAACTAGTTTTTCAGCATCATTCTAAGACAGGATGTGTCTAATTTTAGTGATCCTGAGATGGAAGAAGGCATACATACCCTGGTCAAACATGATTGGAGGCCAAGGTTGGGCTGCAAGGCAATCAAACTAATCCATTGTAGTTTAATTAAGATAGTTCAATGCAATGCACCAAGCATTTATGTTATATTCATATGCATCATGAATTATTAATAATAATTCAACAAAATCAACCTCTACAGTATTACTACTGCCACTAAAAAATCAAAAATAACAATAAGAGGTTACTGCGTGTCATCCTACTGTAAGATGAATGTAAAAATCTCCTTCCTGCAGCATCTTATTTTTATTTAATGAAAGCCATTAAACTGTGACCCATGTAAATTCAGTTTCCTGCACATTTATTACTCTGCTCCCCTGTTACAGCAGATCTGCATTCCTCCGCTGCTCGATCAGCCCGTCAGTCTGTCAGCTGCTTTGCTCGTGCTGATGAGAAAGAATTTGGGATTAAAGGGTTTTCTCGTCTTCTGACAGCTGCACCCTGGGAATCTCCTCCCTTTTTCTTCTCTGTGTTTCTGGCCTCCGGTCTGCATCTCAATCTGACTGTGCCAGTGCACGCCGACTGACTGACAGCCCAAACTGAGCCCATTCACCGAGCTGAGAAAGCTGCCATCCGAGTGTTTGACTGACACTCTGAGTTTTAATGATCGCTGTAGTTTCTTTGCTTCTTCCCGCGGTTATTTTCTCTCCTAATAAACCTGCGTATAATTCTACTGTGTCTCTGTTTGCTTATTTGCAGCAATGACTTCAGTCGCATGGTTGCAGAAGAGTATTTGAGTTTCTTCAATTTCACAGGCCTCACTCTGGACCAGGCGCTGCGGTAAGAAATCACAGTTAAACCAGTTTTTACTTTGACAGAGACGCCTGATGTTAGATTACTGAAAAATGGCCAAGAGTTCCCCTAAAATCAACAAAGCATTTGATTATTGGTGTAAACCTCTTCTCTCTCTGTGATGCTGATCCCAGTTAGAGAGAAAAACGCACATTTGATGTCTTTGTTTTCTTTTGTGGTTGCCCTCCTCTGGTAAACACTGCTCTCTAGAGGCCAGCTGTGAAATTGCAGTGAAAGACTATTGACAGCATAAACATGCACGCTGTTAAAGAGGTTTATGTTTGTTATCTTTATTTATTAGATTTATTCATTCTGGGCATAAACTGAAAAACAACCAATACTGTGAGGTTTTTTGTTGTTTTTTTTTCTTTATGAACTTTGCTCAAGAAAAAGTAATAATCTACAGGATTTAAAATCAGTGTAACATTTTTACTGTGTAAAAATGTTCCATTCAAGAAAAAAGTCAAACAGATTACTCTCTGTACAAACTCCTTGTACATTACATATACAAAAGCTGGGACTTTAACTCTTTAACATTTAAGCTTCTAATCTTTCAACACCCCTGTTTTAAGGAAGTTCAATGTTTTACATAGTGTTGCTTTAATTAATCTGCATAATAATAATTGGCATAAGAAATGTGGCAAACTGAGAAGTCTTAACAACAGAGAAGCCACACAGAGATTGAGCCTGTTGTTCTACTCCAAACAGATAGGGGGAGCTCTTTATTGAACTTACTGAAGCTATACTACACTGTGCTTCAGAGGGTCGCCTGAGCTCACTCATGGTACTACATTCTTTCCATCAACAATAACTGTCGCTGAATTTATTCTGCAGCATCAACAAGAACAGTTAGAGTCATGTAACCATAAACAATAAACATCTTAAACAGCCACACATATCCCCAAGGCATGATGGGAGATAACTAGCTGCTCCCAACACGGCACAATAATAACAATTTATGTGCCAGAAATGACTCATTCATTTAACCTATCTGGATTGCCTGAAATATTAAGGCAATGTTTGATTCAAGACAAACAAAAGCATATTAAATATGTCAGACCTGCAATAAAACATAATTTCCAGGCTCAGGGACTAATATCTTAATTGAAACATTAAAAGCAAGAACATCCTGGTGTTAAATCTCTTGGAAATATTATGAACATATGAAAGTATGTATGGTATTTTTTAAACTTAAAAAAGACATTAGGATTATTTTAAGTCAGTTTTTAAATTGTCACATGACTTTGTACTTTGTATTTAAGTAAATGTAAGAGGATTTTACACTAAGATTTCAAAAATGTAATTAAAGAACATTTTTCTGTTTCTTGAGTGAGAGTGTGGCGTCATTGTATGTTTGGCTTTCAGGATACAAACACAAAGACAGGCTGCGTAAGAAAAAGCCTTTGATTATAGATTATCCAAAGTTCACTGAAGAGTCTGCAGGCAGCACAGGTTAACAGACATTACAACTAAATGAAGACAACTCTATGATACACACACACACACACACACACACACACACACAGGGTAATCTGGTAAGTGAACACAGCTGGGAAAAACTGTGGCACAGGCGAAGGTCATCAAATGACAAACAGGAAGTAAAACTACAGTAAAGGCACAGCAGACACACACTATCAAATTAAAACAGGAAGTACGTAATAAACATTCAGAAACATGAAGTAAGAGAAAATAAACTCACCAATCATTTTCAATCAGAGAAAATGAATTAAAATGTTCAAAAGGACAAAATCTACTTCAGAAGCATGTGACTCAGTCATTCCAGCATTTTCATGTGTTAATATATTTTGGTGATGTGGTGGAACATGAAAATGATGAATTTCAGGAACATAAAGCGTCCGATTTAAAAACAAAAGAAAAAAGAATTTGATTATTTAATTTCAACACTTCTAATAAAGGACAACAAAAGTCTAAAATTAGACTCCAAAAATACATGAGATGACTACGGTTTAAAAGAAAATACTTAAAATATAAAAAATCCAATTATATTTAATCTTATTTTACTTCATGCTTGAATTAGTACCTTCAGTTGCTGAAAACAATGATGAAGCTTTAAATGACTTTGTTTTTCCCTGCAATGTTGTTTTTTTCATGGAAACACTAAAGCTAGAAGTACAACTATCGTGTTTAAAAAAAAAAAAGAGTCTAATAAATTTAATAGTAATGTAACACTACATCTGTTATTTTACTGCACTTTAATGGTAAAACAGTTTAAAACAGGTCATCTGTAACCATTTTGGTGTTTAGCAACCATCTGCTGACTTTGTGTTTGTGCTGCAGGACTTTCCTCAGGCAGTTTGCGCTGATGGGGGAGACGCAGGAGAGGGAGAGGGTGCTGTCACACTTTTCCAGGCGTTACTTGGACTGCAACCCAAAAGTGATACCATCAGAAGGTGAATGCTGGTATAAATTTATTTATGTATATATGTGTCTATGGGTTGTTGTTTGTTTTTGCTTCCTATAGATTTAAATAGTCGCAGCATAAATAAATGAGAAGAAATCAGTAGATCAATAGCATAATGGGTCCTTTTAAGGTAATTTAGCAGGTGTAATAACCAAGTAAGATCATTTCATTTCTCACAGCAGCTGGTAAATTAATATGCATTTATTCAGTTAATGATTACTACATAAACAGGACTAACTGTAGTACCTGTGGTGTTTGTTTTGTGTAATGACTGCAGTGGCAGGCTAGTAAAAATTAACAGCATATATGAAAGCAGTATTGTTCGCCTTAAAACCACATTAGAAGGATGCACTTGTATTTATGCAAGTTCCCAGTAAAACTAGTTTCATAATCGCAGATGAGTCATTTTGCAGAGAAAGCTAACGCAGTGTTTCCACGTTTTAGATGCAGTTCACACTCTCACCTGTGCCCTGATGCTGCTTAACACTGATCTGCATGGTCAGGTAGGTATAATGCTCGAGTGTGTTTCAGTGAAGCTGGAAGTGTGCAGCAAGTGTGTAGGTGCTCACATGATAAACAAAGAAAGAGAGCTGTTTAAGAGCTGCGTTCTCCTCAGAGGCCCTTTGGATTAGCTGTGCGGAGTTTGTTTTTTTTTAGTATAAGACTCGGTTTGATCACCATCTCATCTGGGTCTGCAGGTCTGCCTGCTGAGCTCCTTTCTCCATCATTAATCTGCTGCTTTTATAATCAGAGCCTTCCTTTGGAAATCTGGGCCATTGGTGGCTCTTCTGTGTGATAGTGCAGCTCAGTGGATGAATGATTAATTAAAGTGGCTGCGAGGTGACAGGATCAGGGAGCGGCTCTTCCATGGAAGAGCACATCAGGAAAGTCTCTACATATTTTAACAAATTTAACTGTTAACTTTTTTGCGACTCTACCTGTTAATATTGGCGGTTCTTTTCTATAAATACCCTCTAATAGTGATTATAATTGGATTTGGTTTTGATTGGCAGGTCGGGTGCACAAGTTTTAATTTATTTTGGATTTTTCCAAATCAACATAGAGTCAGAAGTACACACTCACTTAAATCTTTGAATAAATGATGATGACGGTTCTATAAATGTCTTTTAACCTGGCAAGCCCGAGGCCTGTTAACTTCTCATTAGTGATCATGATTGACTACAACTGGTAGTTTCTTTTTACTGGAATAAAAAGGATTTGTTTGAGAGCACTCACTGGATCGACCAACACTCAAAAGAATGGGAAAGTCCAGAGAACTAATAAGGAGAACCACAGAGTTGGGAAGGTCTCTGGGAGATGTTCCCAAATGTCTGCAGATTCCAAGAGCATCAATTCACATTATTGTTTCTAAGTACAGGTTATTAGGACGCGTCACCACTTTGCTGAGTTCAGTAACCACCAAGGCTTAATCACTGTCCACAGTAAAGCCAGTTTTACATCCCCATGGACTGTGAAGTGATGTAAAACTTCAACACCTTCAAGTGACTGGAATTTACATCTTCCCACATGGACAAGCCAGATGCCTTCTGGAGAAAAGCTTTATCATCAGACAAGACAAAGATTGTGGACCTTGAACGTAGTGAAAACCTGTGGATTATGATTAAAAGCTAGTTTTGTGTGACACCCTGACCAACCAACCAAATTAAACAAACTCTACCATGTCTGCCAAGAAGAGTGGACACATATCCAGCCAGTATTATGCCTGAGGCTCATTGGTGGCTACCACGAGCATGTGGCCAAAAAATTAGGAGACATCTAACTAAATATTAGTGGGGATGTATGTATATATTTGAGCCTGTATGGGTTAGAGAAATTACAAAATAAGTTTATACTTGTGCATCTTGTTTTTTTTAAACTCATTAAACATGTATAATGTACAACCATTTCATCCTGAGCGAAAGAAACAAAAGAAATTATTTAAACCCGAGAATGAGCGGATGTAAGACTCTGGCCACGACTATAAATACGGTCTATTCACTGAACTGTCAGAGAGACTTTGCCTGAAAAGTATCTAAAAAGTAACCATTTAAATGAGAAGCTATCTCATCAAACACTAACTCAGCAGCGTTAATAATTTTGACACCTGACCAGTGATTTAATGCTTTTTGCATTGACAGCTTCTCCATAACTTTTCATAGTCAGAGGGACACTTACAATAAAAATTGACATTAATTAAGTTGAAGGCACTTTGTGTGAAATAAAGAGGTAAGGAATGTGTGTTAGCATGAAATAATAAATATTAAATGTCTATTGTTTTTTCCAGAACATTGGCAAGAGGATGTCATGCACACAATTCATTGGCAACCTGGAAGGACTGAACGATGGCCAGGATTTTCCCAAAGAACTGCTCAAAGTAAGCCAGTCTGAAATAGCACAAACGCACATGCTGTCATACGCAAACACACATCCCACATGAAAGTGAGCGGGCTGCCTCTGCCAGCGCTGTATTGTCCCTCAAATACTGCGCGACTGAGCCTGGCTGTCTGGCTCGCGCTTGTTGCCAGCTGGCATTCACCTCATCTCCAGGGGCATCCAATCAGAAGGCAACCCCAGGCCCGCCACTTCCCGGTATGCTCCGGCTTGGAACCTTGGGGCTTGACAACTAATTGTTTCGTGGTCTGGAGACGAAGAGAGTGACACACAGCCGACCTCGAGGCATCTGTGTGTGTGACTACAGCAGCATTAGATTAGCCTGTTAGCTTAACCAAGTTGAGCTCGGCCTGTCAGACAGAGGCCTGCAGGCCACATGACAGGGGGAAATAATCCAATCAGAGCTGGTTGCTTGTCCAATGGTGCTCATAATGATGATGCTGTTGATATAGTTTTGTCTGCAGAGCGGTCCATCAGCATGCCACGGGGCCCCTTAGTGCGAGTCAACAAGTTGCATTGCAGTATTAATAATGTATGAGGGAGCAAGTCCTTCTGCTGAACTGGCGGGAACCCTGAAATGAAAAGCCGAGCCTGTTATTAAGGGAAGATAGTATCCACGCTGAGGGCTTGTGACTGCAACAAAACCAGTCATGCATTATCTCTTTTATTTATGCTTGTGGAAATCCAGGAACTGTCTTTTTAATCATGCATTCCACTTTCCACAGCTTCTTTTATTCTCTTTCTCTCTCAATGAGACTTTTTTTTTACCCTGAAGCCTCTGCCTCCCATCCTCTGACTCTCTAAATGTTCTGCCTGCCCGCTCACTGCCCTGCTCCTTATCTCAGCTCCGTTTAGCTCCCGTGCAGTTTAATCTCTGCCTCTAGACTGAGTCTCACTGCCACCTTTATCTGCTCGCTTTCACCTCCATCCTGTTCTGCTCTGTTTTCTTGCCTCCCCTCTCCTGACCGGTCATCTCTGCATTTGTTCTCTTCTGGTTTATGTCATTGTTACCTATAATTTTACCATTTCAAATTCCAACTCAACAACTATCATTCTCTGTAACCATAAAAAGATGCAGGTTAGGGTTAAGAGATATTTCACCGTGCTTTTTCTTTGCAAAGTGTATTGCAAACTAATTCAGTAGTTTGCCTTGATCAGACCAAGCATTTATATCTGCTGAAGTTAATGAAATCTAGAACTAAAATTCAAAGCTGCTCTTTTAGCTTATATTTCTTTTTGCACCAAACCCCATTCCCTCAAGAGACTTTACTTTTTACATTATACATGCTTCCCTTAAATAGTATCATTAGAAGGCAAAGCATACATTTCCACTGCTATGCAGATGACACCCAACTTTATCTGAGAGTGAAGCCAGATGATATAAATCAACTAGTAATAACTTTATAAAGACTTAAAACCTGGATGACGTCTAATTTCCTGCTTCTAAATTGAGATATAACTGAGGTTATTGTACTCGGCCTTAAAAACTTAGAAATATGGAGTCTAAACAAATATTTATCTGGATGGCATTACTTTGGCCTAAGGTAACACTGTGGGGAATCTTGGAGTTATTCTATGTCCCTAAATCCACATATTAAACAAACATGTAGGACTGCTTTCTTGCACTTGCACAATATCTCTAAAGGTCCTGTCTCAGTGTGATGTTGGAAAAGTATGTGCATTTATTACTTCCAGGCTGGACTACTGTAATTGATTATTATCAGGATGTCCTAAAAACTCCCTGAAAAGCCTTCAGTTAAAATGCTGCAGAAAAGTCCTGACAGGGACTAGAAAGAGAGAGCAGATTTCTCCTATACTGGCTTCCCTTCATTGGCTCCCTGTTAAATCCAGAAGTGAATTTATAATCCTGCTCCTCACATACAAGGTCTTGAAAAATCAGGCCCCATTTTATCTTAATGATCTATAGCACCATATGACTCCATTAGAGCACTTCACTCTCAGACCGCAGGCTTACTTGTGGTATTTAACAGTAGAATGGGAGGCAGAGCCTTCAGCTTTCAGGCCCCTCTTCTGTGGCTCCCAGTTTGGATTCAGCACAGACACTATCTCTACTTTTAGGATTAGGCTTCAAACTTTCCTTTTTGATAAAGCTTATAGTTAGGGCTGGATCAGGTGACCCCGAATCCTCCCTTAGTTATGCTGCAAGAGGCCTAGCCTGCTGGCGACTTCCCATGATGATGATAAAATATATGTATAAAATGTACAAAAAGCTCAACAGGAGGAGGTGTAATCGCTTTCTGTCCTCAAATATAATCAATAATATTCAGCCAATCAGCTTCCTCCACAGTATTTTGAATCTAGCAGCTTTACATAATTCACACTTCAACCTAATCCTTCTTTTTCTTACACTGGGACATCTTTGCTCCTTTTCCTCGTCCCACTGACCAAACGTTCCTCTGGTTGGCCACTGCTCTTAAATTGTTTATTTGAACATCAGGTGGGTGAGCCATAGATGACCATTATGGGGGTTACCCCTCTCAATGACATCATACAAATCCAAGATTAGAAAAGCCAGTCTGAAACAGAGTTATTAGAGCCGTCTGAAGTCTGTGCTTTTGGCTCACAGGGACTACTGGTGCATAGGCTGACCTCATGAATTTAAAAATGTAGCCATGTTTAATAAGAGCATTCACCACAGTAGACTGTGTATCACGTAAAATAAGAAACACCATTGGAGGTCTTAATTTTGGTGCCACCGATTTTTTTTTAGTCAGTGCATCTCTTACTAAATAAACACTGTAACTCGTTCAGGTTTTGCTCACAAACAGTTACTGTATCTGTTCCCGGTAGCCTCTCATTCCTTTCTTGTTTTTTCCTGTCCTCCCTTTTTCTCTGTTATCGCACCATCATTTCCTGGTACAAAATGACCTTCCCTCTCCCTCCCCACCACCATCTCTGTGTTCCTCATTTCCTCCGTTTATTTTCTTATTTTCCCATTTCCCCATTTGTGCCTGGTGCTCGTGTTTGTATTTGCTGTAAATACATTAGAACACAGCTGGAGATACCCCTCATTCAGTTTAATTTTCAGCATGCACACGTGCTGTATTCCATTTGGTGTTCTAGGGTCAGAGCTTGTTTCTATTTTTCCACAGTTTTTTATTTTCCTGGCATCTTTTTCTCCTTTTGAGCCCACCTTTCCTTGCTGTATCTTCAGGTTTAACTGGTTTTTCCATAAAATTGTTTGTTAGTTTTGTTTCTTAGCATTTAATAGCAAAAAATCTGTTACTGTGTGTTGCACCAGGTCAATTTATGGATGCACCTTTCTAACCAGGCTTGCTTACTTTTGCTGATAACTTATCACTCCACCCTCTCATCTGAAGGTTAAAGTGGAATTTGGCAGGTGGGGAAGCCAGTAGATGGGATGTAGCAGTGCAGTGCGGAGGAAAAATTACTTAGAAATAAGTCACAATCATTTGTATAGTGAGCTGCAGTATATATAGTATTCTGTGTGTATAGGTTGTGACCAGAGATTTGCTGCTCTTTGTGGATTTAGCCAATAGAATTCAGGAATATTTAAGCAGATTTTGTGCAAGCTACTGTGGCTAAATTTCAACCTCAAGTCAATATAAAGCTGGTATCAAAAGTAGAACTTGGTAAGTCATTGTAATCCACGCTGCCTTAATTTTAATCTCATGTCTAATTTTACTCTCACTTCTTTTCTGTAGGGCTAGCTGCATGCTGAAGTACCCCAACCACAAGTTTATAGGCATCTGCACCATGAAAACTCACAGGGATAAGAAGGAAAAAGCTGTGAGCAAAAATGTACAGGGGCCAGACCTTTAACCATTTCTTGTCAAAAAATGGTCAGCTGTAGAAAACTAACACGGCTAAAGATGCAGAGTGCCAAAAAATGTAGGTGATAAATTACAAATTGCATAAATATGTTTAAAACTTTTAGATGTTACTGAGTTCTGAAATTCAGCAAGAATGAATCCTATAGTCATTAATATACTTTGTGCATATTATATGCAAATCTCATCCTGATTCCACAGTACTTTGTGCAGTGAATATGGAAGTACCTAGCTGCTAGCTACCACAGCTGTTGGATCTTAAACTACAACTTAAAGCAACCTTTGCACAGATATTTTGTCATTTGTCACATTGTGTCTCTTTATCATCATTTAAACAGCTTTCCAATAAGAAATACTGTCACCTCACAGAGATCAATATTCTTTTTTTAGCACAAAGAGCTGAATTTTGTACCTTTAATTACTTTTAGGCAGTGGCATACACATTTTAGATATGTTGGGAAATATAAGCAAAAAGAGAGCCTTCATAAAGAGCAGTACAGTGTGACTCTTTAAAATGGTGCCATATGTCGCAGCTTTACTCCGAGGGGCAGAAACACTGACGTGGCACTGAGCCACTTTAGCCCTGTGGCTGAAACAGAAATCAGCTGCCTGGTGGACTGGAAAATAATGAGTGAGGCTTTGCATCCCCCTGACACCTCTTTCCACCTCTCTCCCTCAGGTAGACTACACTCCCTCTTTCATCGTCAATTAACTCATTTCTTCCTCTATTTTCTTTCTTTGTCTTGTTTTGTGGCTCTGCCTTCCCCAGTAACTGTCGCAGATTCTCCCTCTCTCTCTCAATTACTCCTCTCGACCCTCCCTCGCTTTCTCTCGTTTGATTAAACCCTATGATATGTTTCCTCATTACCACCACAATAGAGGAGCAGAATAGAGCAATCTCCTGAAGTGAGTGTGCGAAGCCTCAGCTCCACTGCCCGCCCTTACACTTTCCAGCACACCAATAACTCCCCGAAAGCCTTTTTATGTCAAGATATTTTATTTTTATTGCATTTCAACAGTAATAATGACACAGAAAGAGGCGAGATAAAGAAGGAGATTATGTGAAACAAAGGCATTAACCAGGTATAAAATCAGGGGGTGGTGTTCCCAAACTGCAGTGACTATCAGTGGCACGAGTAAAGCTCCCAGACAAATGTAATGCAAGGTTTTA